TGAACAAGGGAAAGGGGAAATATAGGGACTCCTCACAGGACCATTTATTTCTTTAGTCGCTTGCTATCACAGGGCCATCTTATAGTCCATCAATCCACTTGCTTTTTCTCCCCCTTCATAGTCTCTCAACTGCAATCCTTGTTCGTTTGGGGGACATGTCACACAACACGACGCGACACCACAGATTGGTTCGATAAGTTCAATTTGACCGATTCGACTTTTGGATTTGCGGTAGCCGCGTCGCGCGTCCAGTGATTTTGACGATCACGAGGGCGCCGAACCGCTCGCGCCTCTGTCAAGCAAAATGTTTTGACGATCAGACCGTTTGCCAGGCATGGTTGACGGGTGAGCGTAACGAATGTGCTTGTTTGGAACTGCAGCCTGCCGATCTCGATAATAGCATCTGTGATTTTTGTACAGTGTGCTGATAAATCAGCTGCAAAGAGCGCTGGACAAATTGGTCATGCCAAATGCAGATCAAAGCCACAATACAAAACTGGTGTGCTTCAAGTTTCTTGTTTGTTCCCTTGGCAACTTAGTACAAACTGGTCCACGATCTAAAGACACTAACCCTGCCCTCCTCTCGGTCCAAGTGCCATTTTTTTCCCTTGTAGCCGACACAATGCGCAACCAAGACAAAACTCGTCAGGAGCGCGAGGGTGCCACACTAGGCGCAGCGGGCACTTATCCCCGCCAGTACACTGTGGTACAACGTAGTTGGACCGCGAAGAGTCGGGACGCGTCTCATGGCACTCAGCACAGAAATGAGTCGTGCCAAAACAGAAATACGAAGCAGTGGAGCAGCAGAAGCGGCACTTGAACTGGATAAAGCCCCGGCCATGGTTACCAGTGCATTCACCTGCTTCCCACAGCTGATCCTTCCCACCCACCCCGGAAACTCCAACCGCTTTTCCTTTGCCCTTCTCCATGCCCCTCTCTTTGCCACGCTGCTTCTCTGCAGCAACAGCAGCAGCCGCCGCAGCAGCCTTTTGCTTTGCCAAAGCTTCAGACGCCAGGCAATCACCACACACTAGCTCATTGCTCTTTGGCTTCACCGCACCTCCTCGCCCCCCTGCCCTTTCCTCCCCTCCGCCCTCCCTCGCTCCTCCTGCCTGAACCATTCCTGGCCCGCCATACCCAGCCTGATCATCAGGCTCGGCAGCAGCAGGTCCGGCGCCGCACCTCCTGTCGCCGCCAAAGTACGGAAGCTGGCAGCGGGAGCAGAGGAAGAACAGGAATCGCCGCAATGCCACAGCCAACACATCACCAACTGCACTGCTGCCATTCCCGCTTCTCTCCCTCCCTTTCCCACTCCGTAAACCCCTCCTGCCAGCATCATCATATGCATCCATATTCCCACCATGCCTCCCACGCACTCCACACCTCTCCCTGTCCCCCTCCCCACCATCCCAACCATCCACACGAGCCCCACTAGCCCCACCCTCATCCCCAAACAGCCCTTCAGCCCTCATCCTCTCGTGTGCCAACTCCTCCACCTGCTTCTTCAGCACCAGAGAAGCAGCCAACTCTCCCTGCAGAGCAGGATGGACCATGGTGGTGGCGGGGCACAGCGGGCACGCGAGGAAGCCAAAGGAGATGTCCGGGCCAGGGAACGAACGCCGGATCTTCTCCCGCGCACACGCCACATGCACCACGTGGCCGCATGAGGCCAGGCGGATGGCAGGCGCGGCAGAGATGGGTTCCACCCAGCAGATGGGGCAGAAGTCATTGGCGGATGGGAGAGGCAGGCTCGCCTGGGGTGGAGGAGCAGCGGAGGAGCGGAGGAGCGATTTGCCCTTGCTGGCTGCTCGGCTGCTACCAACACCATGACCACCAGAAGCAGCGGCGGCAGCCGCGGATGCGGAAGCTGCTGCTGCTGCTGATGATGATGATGCTGATGCTGCGTGAAGTTTTCCGAGGCATGGATCCTGCAGGCATGGCAGGCACTGAAGCTCCCCACGCACGCCCCCACACGGATGGCCACAGGGGCTGGTGCGCGTGCATGCAGCCTTCAGCTTCTCCCGGCACTGCTCCTCTCCGCACACACGCGCTGCCAGAGCTGCCACTGCTGCTAAATCACCTTTCTCCACACACCACCCTGTGTCTGCGCCCACCGCAGCAAGCAGCGCCCTCATCTCCCTCACACTCCACGCCCACCCGATCCTGCCACCGCTGCCACCGTTACTGCTGCTGCAGTTGCTGTTGCCGCTGTCGTTGTTACTGCTGCTGCTGTGGCTGATGTCTGGAGGCGCTATAAGGTTGACCAGTTGCCTGGCTGCTCCAAGCTCCCGCTGCCTCTTGTGCTCCGACCCAGAACTCCCTCCATGATCTCCCTCTGCTGCTGCTTCTCCTCTCTGCCCCCCTCCACACCCTCCTTCCCCCCCTCCTCCACCTCCTTCTCCTCCTCCACCACCACCACTACTGCCCCATCCCGCACCGTCTCCCTCCCTCCCATCCCCCATCCCACCCTCAACTCGCTCCCCACAGAACAAGCACTTGGGAGCGGCAAGCCGGGCAGCGTAAGCAGCACAGGACAGCCCCAGATGGTACGGGTGCACACGGCACGAGCCACAGAACACAACCGCGCACTCCCCACACCGGAACCGGTTCCCTGCCTTGTGCACAATCGCTTCCCGCGTCAGCACGCGCCCTTCCTCGTCTCGCTCCGCCATTGGCGCCGTCCTGTCGATCTCGGGAACTCCGGAGAGGATCGCACCGGGCGGCGGCTCCGCCGGCAGCTTCTCCACCAGCACGTCGCATCCCGGGCAGCGGACAAATTCATCTGCCCGGGAAAACGCCGCGAGGGCGACGGACGTCGCCGCTTCCTCCCACTGCCGGAATTCTTCGGGCAGAAGTGCTTGCACGTGGAGGGCTGGGACTGGCTGTCCGCAGCACGGGCAGGCCATGGAATCTCTGCTATCAGACGATCTCGCCGGCGATTCTCGCCTCTCAGATAACCCTCCCCCGGCTGATTGCTTTTCCTTGCCTGCCGTGCCTGCCTTGTCTGCCGTCTCGGATATGTGCCTCGCCGTGTGCCGCTCAATCACCATCTGCGCTTTCAGCTCGAGCATCTGCGGGCGGAAGGACGCGCGCGCGCAGGAGAGGCAGAGCAGGCAGGAGCAGCGGGGGAGATCCAGAGAGCGGTCGATAGGAATGAGCACGTGGCAGGCCCCACACTCCACGTCCACGCTCACGTCCTCACTCGCCCACTCGGGAGGAGCTGTGCCCCACTCACTACCCCACCCAGCAGCAGCAGCAGCAGCAGCAGCAGCAGCAGCAGCAGCAGCAGTAGCGGCAGCAGCAGCAGTGGCGGTCGTGGTGGTGGCACCACGCGCGCGGGTATCAGCGGCATCAGCAGCGCCATCGCTACCGTCGCTGCCGTCGCTATCCGCGGTGAGGTCGATCACCTCACCCGCCCTCCTCGCTCTCCTGATGCTTCGCATGCCTGCTCCGCCGCTGCAACTGCCGCGAGTCCTCTCGTGGAAGTGATCGCGGGAATCGCGGGGATACGGGCACTGCTCCACCTCGATAAAATCGTCCGCCACGTCACCATCGCTGTCCACCTGTCCTTGGCTGTCGGATAGCTCGATATCATCGTGCTGCGCGTGCGATCCGCCGTGCAATCCGCCGTGACTATGCATCACGTAATGCTCTGTCGACTCCATCCGCCGCCGGCTTTCCACCCGCTCCCTCTCTTCCCGCTCTTCCCTCCCTCGCCCTCTAGCCTCCGACCTCCAGCGGTGCGTATCCGTCTCGCGTTGCTCCTTAAACTCCGTTCTCACCTCCGATCTCCAGTCCGATCGCGACGCGGCTCTCCACCGCCGCGACTCGCCATGGCCAGCGGCCGCATCGCGGGACGGAACGGACCGGCCGTCGTCCCCACCGGGCGACGCGGGGAGCGAGTTTACCTCCTCTAGAACGAACCAGCTCATGGCGCGCCGGAAAATCAATCCCAGATGCTTGATTCCAGGTGCTTGAATGCAAGTGATTCGTCTCCACACCAAGTTAAACAGACCTCAGAAGCAACCAGAAGCAATCGGTCCTCGGGACAAGGGACGACGCAACGATTTCGGGCGACGAAAAGGAGGCATTCAGCGAGCAAAGCAGACGAAAAGGAAGACGCCGACGAATACGACGAAAGCGAACAGGTATCACTGGTCGAAGCGAGGCCGTGCAGGAGGATCAACTAAGGCACGTACAGCCCCAGGAAATACCCTGCACGAAGATCGCCTGAACTGGTGCCGCCGGTCAGACTGGTTATGGTCTCTTTTGATAATTCTCAAGAGTAAAGTCCAGTAGCAGTCAACAGCAGGTAAGGCAACAAGACAGACGAGATACCTCCAGTCAAGGAGGCCATTGCACAATTCGCCGTTGTTGAACTTGTCAGAAGGACAAAGCTGCTGAGCTGCTGAGGGACGTGAAGAAGAGGCGGGCAGCAAAGCTCGAGGGGGTGGGGTGCGGTTCGATGGGGCGGAGAAGGGGGGTTTTGTGTAGGTGGACCTTGGGAGTGCTGTGTGGGGGGGGGCGTGGTGGAGTGGATGGCATGGCAATGCATGCCGTGTTTCGTTTCGTGGTTCGCGCTTCGTTTTGGCGTGCTGGTTGTGCGAACTTGGATTCTTGGATAACGAGATTTCGCTGAACCGATTACCAGTAACGTTAGTCGACTCGGTGATTACCCCTAGATTTGCAACGCATATACAGTTAAAGCCCGAGTTCTACATGGTTATTTTCAAGTTCAAGATTTTTGAATATGAATTTGCCAAAAACCATGTTATCACCCGAAGTGGAGCATTCTCTCACGATAGTGATCTGTGATTGGCCAGCGACACTCAAAGTCATATCGAGCAGTGGGTCAGCAGGCAAGGCAGCACTGTTCACTTGAACTGAACTTGAAAACCATCTTGTACTACTTGTCAAGCATACTAGACATAGTTCACCCGTCATTCACGCCCAAAAATCACTCCGTTTGAGGGCACAACTCATGTACCAACTTTCGCAAGATGCTCCTGCTATACTCTCCCTGGTCGCTTAGGTTCCCCCATTCGCCCTCGCTTGCCCGCGACGCTTTCAGTTCTTTGGCTCCCGTTACTCGTTTCCTCGCGTCGTCCACGATCGCGCTCCCTTCTGTTCGTCGCCCACGCTTCCAACCGTCGCTCCCTTCCATTCGCCTCCCTCCCTTCCGTTCGTCGCCCTCCCTTCCGCGCGTCGCCCTGCTCGTCGCTCTACCTTTCGCCCGTCGCCCTCCCATCCGCTCGTCGCTCTACCTTTCGCCTGTCGCCCTCCCATCCGCTCGTCGCTCTACCTTTCGCCCGTCGCCCTCCCATCCGCTCGTCGCTCTACCTTCCACGCGTCGCCCTCCCATCCGATCGTCGCTCCCGTCGCCCTCCCTTCCGCCCGTCACCCTCCCTTCCGCCCGTCGCCCACCCTTCCGGCCGTCGCTCTCCCTTCCGCCGCCGCTCTCCCTTCCGCCCGTAGCCTTCCCTTTGTCTCGTCGCCCTTCCTCCCGCTCGTCCCCTCGCAATCCGCGTCTTCCTCTCTCCCCGTCGCCCTCGCCATCCCTCCCGTCTCCCTTCCCATCGCGCTCCCTCTGTTCTCTTCCCTGCTTCCCCCCATCCCCTTCCCTGCTTCCCACCATCCCCTTCTCTGCTTCCCTCCATCCCCTTCTCTGCTTCCCACCATCCCCTTCCCTGATTTCCCCCATCCCCTTCTCTTCTTCCCCCCAACCCCTTCCCTGCTTCCCCCCATCCCCTTCCCTCCATCCCTTTCCCTGTTTCCTCCCATCCCCTTCCCTGCTTCCCCATGTCCCCTTCCCTGCTTCCCCCCCATCCCCTTCTCTGCTTCCCCCCATCCCCTTCCCTGATTTCCCCCATCCCCTTCTCTGCTTCCCCCCATCCCCTTCCCTGCTTCCTCCTATCCCCTTCCCTGCTTCCCCCCCTCCCTTTCCCTGCTTCCTCCCATCCCCTTCCCTGCTTCCCCATATCCCCTTCCCTGCTTCCCCATATCCCCTTCCCTGCTTTCCCCCCATCCCCTTCCCTGCTTCCCCCCATCCCCTTCTCTGCTTCCCCCCAACCCCTTCCCTGCTTCCCCCCATCCCCTTCCCTCCATCCCTTTCCCTGTTTCCTCCCATCCCCTTCCCTGCTTCCCCATGTCCCCTTCCCTGCTTCCCCCCATCCCCTTCTCTGCTTCCCCCCATCCCCTTCCCTGCTTCCTCTCATCCCCTTCCCTGCTTCCCCCCATCCCATCCCCTTCCCTGCTTCCCCCCATCCCCTTCTTTGCTTCCCCCCATCCCCTTCTTTGCTTCCCCACATCCCCTTCCACGCTTCTCCCCTACCCCTGCCCTGCTTCCCCTCATTCTCTGCCCTCCCTTCCCTTCTCTCCCCATTCCCTCCCCCATTGCTCCCCCTCTTCCGCGCAGCGAGCCATCGAAGCACCGCATCCAGCAGATCTTCGACTGGATCTGCCCCGAGGCGAACCCCTTCACACACACCGCCACCTCGCTCATGGAGCGGTACTTGCCCACTCCGCACTTCAGCGGGTTCTGCGAGATGGGCTTCTCTTCTGGTGGAGCTGCGAGACAGCCTCCTGTCGAGACTGCTTTCAGCCTCGCCTGCTGCCCCATACTTGGAAGCTGCTCTGCCTGACAGCCAACACTGTGCAGGCAAGGATTTGAAGGTGGATCAGGGGGCAGGGGTAAGGGAGTTTGCTGTGCGGCATGGTCACTGCGGCGTGGCGTGGGAGGAACGGGGAAAGGCAAGCACAGGGTGAAGGCAGGCAGGTGCTGTGGCAGGTGCTGTGGCAGGTGCTGTGGCAGGTGCTGTCGCCTGCCAGCACGCCAGAGGTACTCTTAGAGCACTCTAGCAGCTGTGAGAGATGCTTCTGTGATGATAGTGGTAGAAAGGGGGTATTGTGTATGCCCAGATCTCAGTGTTGACCCGAGCTCTTTTTCGTGATGCAACATGTGGATACCTGCCCTATTGCGGTTGCTGCTGACGTTTCTGATTATGCAATTGGCAGTCTTGTGAGTGCAGCACTTCGGGGGTACCGCAAACCTGACACCTCTCTCGAAGTTCAAGGGTATTGGGGTAACAGATTGCACAAAGACCGTAATAAGAGATGAAGTGAGCGCAAAGAATATACCTACCAAACACACACAACATAAATCCCCAAGACCAAACATAGAGTCCAAAAGTGGATTGGCATAAGGGCGAGTCATATATGGTGAGTACACAGCTCATGAATCACTGTGTTCAGGCTGGTAAGTAGCACTTCAAACCGGTGAAGCAAGGGTGCCCTTCTTGAACGCACAACATCGTAGTCAACCTGCGCTGGCGCTGCGGCTGGTGGGAGGAGAACTCAGCAAAGGCGAAGGGCAGCGAGGCGGGGGGAAAGGCGGAGAGCAGCAGGAAGTGCAATCTGAGCCGTTGAATCTTGGAGGGATCGCGGGTGAGCGTGGCAGGGCAAACAAGCCCGATCACCCAATGTCGCTCAATGTCGGGCGAAGGGGCACAGGGGTTGCTGCAATGGGTTCAAGGTTCAGGGTATGAGGAGAAAGGAATGGCGGAATAAGGAAGGAAGCACAGTGAGGTGACACGAGCACAAGGCAACGGCTCATAGCAGCGTCACTCAGGTGACTGCAGGTCAGATGCACATAGCAGCCACAAGGCACGGGCACGTAGCAGCGGCATATAGCAGCAGCGCATAGCATCCAGTGACGGCTGAGGGCTCACAGGGATCACAGACCGGGGATGAAGGGGAACGGGGAGGGCGAGAGGAGGTGTTATGTACAAAAGAAACAAGCCCAGCATGGCAGCGGCACATAGCAGCAACGCACAGCAGCATGAGGTGACCGGTTGAGGGCTCACAGAGATTGCAGGCCGTGGATGAATGGAGTGGGGAGAACACCGCTCATGCTGCCACCGCCATGTGCATGCATGACGTCGCACAGAACCGGCACGCTCACTGCCACGTCAGCATGCATGCCGGTGACTGCTGACGTGGCAGCAGTGGCACCGGAAGGGGCAGCCGCAAGGGAGGCGAGGGTGAGCGGCAGCCAGTCGTGGTAGAACTGGTGCAGCAGCTGGTCCGCCTCGTCCACCACCTAATGGGGGCAAGACATGATGCAGGCGATGAAGGGGGTGCACGGAGGGAGGCATGGGAAGGCATGAGGAGAAGCGGAGGGGGGAATGAGGAGAAGCGGAGGGGGGAATGAGGAGAAGCGGAGGGGGGAATGAGGAGAAGCGGAGGGGGGAATGAGGAGAAGCGGAGGGGGGAATGAGGAGAAGCGGAGGGGGGAATGAGGAGAAGCGGAGGGGGGAATGAGGAGAAGCGGAGGAGGGAATGAGGAGAAGCGGAGGGGGGAATGAGGAGAAGCGGAGGGGGGAATGAGGAGAAGCGGAGGAGGGAATGAGGAGAAGCGGAGGGGGGAATGAGGAGAAGCGGAGGGGGGAATGAGGAGAAGCGGAGGGAGGAATGAGGAGAAGCGGAGGGGGGAATGTGGGGAAGCGGAGGGGGGAATGAGGAGGAGCGGAGGGGGAAATGAGGGGAAGCAGGGGGGGAAATGAGGAGAAGCAGAGAGGGAAATGAGGGGAAGCAGTGGGGGAAATGAGGGGAAGGAGGGGGGGGGGGGAATGAGGGGAAGCAGGGGGGGAACGATGAGAGCAGAGGGGGAAACGGGGGGAAGCAGCGGGGTAAATGCGGGGAAGCAGAGGCGGACATGAGGGGAAGCAAAAGGAGAAATTAGGGGAAGGAGAGGCGGACATGAGGGGAAGCAAAAGGAGAAATTAGGGGAAGCAGGAGGTTAAATATAGGAAAATCAGGGGGCTGGAATAGGGGAAGCAGGGGGGAAACCAGGGGAAGCAGGGGAGTAAATGAGGGAAGAAGAGGGGGGAATGAGGGGAAGCAAACGGGGAATGAGGGGAAGCAGAGGGAATAGAGGGGAAGGTAACAAGAGGGAATAGAGGGGAAGGTAACAAGCAGCGGGAGTGGAGGCGCGAGGAGGGGCAGCGCGACGAGGGTGTTGGCGCGCTGATGGCAGGGGAGGCGCGGCGAGGTGAGCGGAGGCGCGGCGAGGCGAGCGGAGGCGCGGCGAGACGAGCGGTGGCGCGGCGAGGCGAGCGGAGGCGCGACGAGGGGAGCCAAGGCGCGGTGAGGCAAGCGGAGGCGCGGCGAGGAGAGCGGAGGCGCGGCGAGGCGAGCGGAGCCGCGACGAGGCGAGCGGAGGCGCGACGAGGTGAGCGGAGCCACGACGAGGGGAGGCTCCCAGAAACGAGCGGGCGTGACGATGGGACAGGGGGCGCGGCGATAAGAGACGCAACTACGGGAGGCGAGGCACAAAATTATTTTGTATGCGCGGGTGAAGTTCCTAAATTCTGCGTATTTTACTATGCTACGATGCGCTGTCGGGATGTTTTCTGGCTAGTACTAACACAAGACTGGTGAGGTTGGCTACTCGTTTGGTTGGTTAGTTGGGTTGGTTTGTCGCACACAAATACCGATATTGAGTGACGAATTCCCAATCCCCTCGCAGCCTGATCTCGCTTTCGCCCCGCCTTTATTCCCGAAATGAACTTTTTTGCTTTTCGCCAACACGTTTAAAGCCCTTCGGAAAATTTGCCAAAAACCATGCTGACCTCGGGCTTTAAAGCTGCGGTCTACATACCTCCAGGGACATGCCTTGGTTTATCACTTGAAAACCGGGTGAACCAAGTACCTGTCTGTGAAGAAACTATCTAGGCGGAAAGAGGGAGGGGACTGTGTCAAACTGTATGTTTGTGTTATCTCTAGGCTATAGTGGGTTAGCCTACAAGGGGTACAACACTTTAGGGTTAGGTACTTGTACTCATGCATGCTACCTAGTCCACCATTCATTCCTGCTTATTCTAACATGGTATTAGAGCAGAATCGTTCCTAGGGCCCACCGAACGTTCCGCCCTGCCCTAACCGTAAAAATTTCTTCCTACGCTGCCCCTGCAGCCGCGCTGCCCTTGCAGCCCGCGTGCTGCCCCTGCGACCGCGCTGCCCCTGCAGCCGTACTCACCCCTGCGACCGTGCTGCCCCTGCAGCCCCTGCGACCGTGCTGCCCCTGCAGCCGTGCCTGCCCCTGCGACCGTGCTGCCCCTGCAGCTGTGCCTGCCCCTGTGGCCCGCGTGCTGCCCCTGCAGCCCGCGCGTTCGCCCCTGCAGCCCGTGGGCGCTGCCTCTGCAGCCCACGCGCCGCCCTGCCGAGCCGCGCGTCGCCCCTGCAGCCCGTGGGAGCTGCCCCTGCAGCCCGCGCGCCGCCCTGCCGAGCCGCGCGTTGCCCCTGCAGCCCGTGGGCGCTGCCCCTGCAGCCCGTACGCCGCCCTGCATAGCCGCGCGTCGCCCCTGCAGCCCGTACGCCGCCCTGCAGAGCCGCACGTCGCCCCTGCAGCCCGTGGGCGCTGCCCCTGCAGCCCGCGCGCCGCCCTGCCGAGCCGCGCGTTGCCCCTGCAGCCCGTGGGCGCTGCCCCTGCAGCCCGTACGCTGCCCTGCAGAGCCGCGCGTCGCCCCTGCAGCCCGTACGCCGCCCTGCGGAGCCGCACGTCGCCCCTGCAGCCCGTGGGCGCTGCCCCTGCAGCCCGCGCGCCGCCCTGCCGAGCCGCGCGTCGCCCCTGCAGGCCGTGGGCCGCGCGCAACCCTAAATCCTGCTTAATATATATATATATATATATATATATATTTATATATATACCACTACTGTTGCTGCTCCTACTACTACTGCTGCTACTACTCGTGCTACTGTTGCTGCTGGTGGAGGTGCTGCTGGGAGTGCAGGAGGTGCTGCTAGTGCTGTAGGAGCTGGAGGTGCTGGACCTACTCCTGACCGTCACTGTCTGTCATGGCCACTTCCGCGGCAGTTGCTGCGGTCAGGGGTGGACAGCAGCGGGCACTGCTTCTCCCGGACAACCCCACCCCTCAGCAGCTTCGTGAGTGGGTTATTCAGCGAGGTCGTCCTGGTGGTGGAGGTTATCGTTTTGTTAAGACTGCTGCTCTTGGTGCTAGTGAGTCTGCTGCTACTCCAGGTGCTAGTGAGTCTGCTGCCGCTCCAGGTGCTAGTGAGTCTGCTGCACCTCTAGGTGCCCGTGAGTCTGCCGACGCTCTAGGTGCTAGTGCGTCTCCTACCACAGGTCCTGCCTCAGCTGAGGTCTTGCACACTTTCACGCTTGACTCAGGCGCGTCACGTTGCTTCTTTCGTGATTGCACCACAGTCACACCACTCACAGCACCTGTCCCAGTCTCACTGGCTGACCCCTCTGGGGGCCCAGTAGTTGCGAGAGCCTCCACGGTCCTCCCTTGTCCAGCAGTCCCCTCCGGCTCTCTGTCAGGTCTCCACCTCCCCACGTTCTCGACGAACTTGGTGAGCAACGCTGCCATTCAGGATGTCTGGGTTGATACCTTTATTCCTGGAGGGCAGCGTGTGGCGATCTGTACGTGCTCCCGGACTGGCCGTCACCTGGCTACGTTCACTCGACAGCCTGGGTCTAGTCTGTACACACTGACCACTGCGTCTGCACAGGTGGCTGAGTCAGGTCAGGTGGCTGCGTCGAGTCGGGCGTCTGCGTTGGGGCAGTTCGTTGCGTCTTGCTCGTGCAGATTACTCATGCACGAGACTCAGCGCTGGCACCACCGTCTTGGTCACCCCTCCCTGCAGCGTCTACGCAGTATGCACTCCCGTCTCCTTGTCTCTGGCCTCCCCAGGACCCTGCCCCCCCTCCCGCGCTCACTTGCGCCACCGTGCCTTCCTTGCGTCGAGGGGCGGCAGCGCGCCGCTCCTCACTCCTCCGAGTTTCCTCCGACCACTGCTCCTCTGCAGACTCTCCACCTGGACGTGTGGGGCCCGGACCCAGTCGGTGGGACGGACCTGGAGCGCTACTTCCTGCTGGTTGTTGACGACTACACACGCTACACCACAGTCTTCCCCTTGCGTCGCAAGGCGGACGTCAGCGGTGTTTTGATCCCCTGGATCCGTGCTGCTCGTCTCCAGCTGCACGAGCGCTTTCAGCAGGACTTCCCAGTCCTGCGTCTGCACTCTGACAGGGGTGGTGAGTTCTCCTCTGGCGTCCTTGAGACGTTCTGCCAGGATGAGGGCATCCGCCAGTCGTTCACGCTTCCGGCCTCTCCGCAGCAAAATGGGATCGCTGAGCGTCGCATTGGCCTGATCATGGAGGTTGCTCGTACCTCCATGATCCATGCGGCTGCTCCCCATTTCCTGTGGCCGTTTGCGGTCCGATACGCCGCGCATCAGCTCAACCTCTGGCCCCGTGTCTCTGCTCCAGAGACCTCGCCCACACTCCGTTGGACGGGACAGCCTGGTGATGCATCGTCGTTTCGGGTCTGGGGCACGCTCTCCCTTGTTCGCGATACCAAAGCGAGCAAGCTCTCTCCTCACACTCTCCGCTGTGTCTTCCTGGGCTTCCCCACCGACGCTCCACCCTGGCAGTTCTACCACCCTGCCTCGCATCGTGTTCTGTCCTCTCAGGACGTCACCTTCGACGAGTCGGTCTGTTACTACCGACTTCACCCACACGCGTCCCACCCGGTCCCCCTCGCGCCTCTCTTCCTGGTACCAGTCCCCCCCCGGTAGACCCCCTTCCCCCACAGGGTCCTGCTCCCTCAGGTGTGTCCCAGGTAGACCCACCCCCCTTGGATGAGCCAGTTGAGATCTCTTCTGACTCCACTGACTCAGCTGAGGGGGGTGACGCCGTCGCCGACGACACGGCGACCACTCGCCACACTCCTCGCTTGGAGACCCCCCCGGGTTTCCCGCCTCGGCCGTCTTTGCCACCTTCGCAGCCTGCTGCTGTGGACTCTGGAGCTGAGGCTGCTGGAGCTGGGCCTGGGAGTAGTACGTCTGGGGGTGACTGCTCTCCTCGTTTGGCTACCCCCCCCGGTTTCCCGCCTCTGCAGCCTTCTGCAGTGGACACTGGAGCTAAGATTGAGGGTCCTGAGCCTGCGGGTGCTGGGACTGAGCGTACTGAGCCTTCGGGTGCTGGGACTGAGAGTACTGAGCCTGCGGGTGCTGGGACTGAGGGCACTGAGCCTGCGGGTGCTGGGACTGAGGGTACTGAGCCTGAGGGTACTGAGCCTGGGGGTACTGAGACTTTGGGTGCTGACTCTGGGGGTGCTGAGACTTTGGGTGCTGACTCTGGGGGTGCTGCGAGTCCTTCTGGAGGTACTGGAGCTGGAGGTACTGGAGCTACTAGGCCTGGAGGTACTACTGGAGGTACTGGAGCTGCTACTGGTGCTGGAGGTGCTGGAGCTGGGGGTACTAGAGGTGCTTCTGGTGCTGGAGGTGCTAGAGCTACCACTACTGGAGGTACTGGAGCTCGACAGCCACCGCAGCCTGCTCTACTTGAGACGCTCTCGCCGCAGGCGATTCGTGCATGGGTCGTTCGGCGAGGCAGTCCTGGTGGTGGAGGGTACGGTCCGGCTGGTGCTGGAGCTACTAGTCCAGGAGGTGCTGCTAGTGCTGGAGGTGCTGGAGGTACTACTGGAGGTACTAGAGGTACTGCTGGTGCTGGAGGTGCTGCTGGTGCTGGGGGTACTGGAGCTGCTGCAGGTGCTGGAGGTGCTGGAGGTGCTGACCCTGGAGGTGCTGGTGCTGGAGGTACTGGAGGTGCTGGAGCTACTGGTCCCGGAGGTGCTCGTACTGGAGGTGCTGGAGCTGCCGGAGCAGGTGGTGCTGCTGGTGCTGGAGGTGCTGGAGGTGCTACTGGAGCTGTTGGCACGGGAGGTACTGGAGGTACTACTGGTGCTGGAGGCGCTGGAGCTGGAGCTGGAGGCACTGGAGGTGCTGGAGGTACTACTGGTGCTCGAGGTGCTGGCGTTGTCGGAGCTCGTGGTGCTGGAGGTGTTGGTGCTACTGGTGCTGGAGGTGTTGCTGGGGGTACTGGAGGAGCTGCTCGTGCTGGAGGTACGGGAGCTACTGGTGCTCTTCGCCACCTTCTCAGTCTTCCGCCAGGTGCTACTGGCTTCCCTGTGGCAGGTACTACTCCTCCGTTGCTGTGTCCACCGGCGGACCAGTCACAGCCACCGCTGCTACCACACTCCCCACTGCTTGCTCCTGCTCCTTACACTGCGGTGTCAGAGTCCCTGACTGAGCGTCGAGAGCCTGAGACTCGTGCTTCCACCCCTGAGCGTCGAGAGCCTGAGTCTAGCTTTGACCTGGAGCCTGAGCCTAGAGCTGCTGTCCGTGCTCATGTTCCTCGTGTTCGTCGTCCACGTGCTCCGGCTGTCCCCGGCACTCACGATATGACACTCCGTCCTTCCTCTGTTCCTCAGCGTGTTGTACTACCGTTACCTCCTGCGTCCTCTCTGCCTGACGTTGCTGACCCTCCGTCTGACCTTGCTCGTGCGTCCAGTCCGACTGCTACTCGCCTTCTTGCTACCGTTGTGACGGACCCTACGTTCTCGTCTCCTGCTGCGTCTGCCCTAGTAGCTGAGCTCGTTGACTTTGCTGCTGTGTACCGCCTCGACTACCTTGCGAGTCTTGTCTCTGACCCTGTCCCTGCCTGTCCTCCGTCCGTCGGGGGTGAGACTGCTCTTGGCTGTACTGCCCTTGGCTGTGACGTTCTTGAGGATAGACAGGAGGAGCTGGAGTGCCTTGCTGCCGCTTCACCCCATCACGCGACCATGCTGCTTGCCCCTAAGGGAGACCCGGATGCACTTGACATCCCCACCCCGCGCTCCTACAGGGAGGCGATTTCGGGTGAGTACTCCTCTCAGTGGCAGACAGCCATGGACGCAGAGATGGCTTCCTGGAAGTCCACAGGCACCTACGTCGACGAGGTTCCCCCACCTGGGGCGAACATCGTCAGTGGCATGTGGATTTTCAGGGTGAAGCGGCCGCCGGGTTCTCCGCCTGCCTTCAAGGCACGTTACGTTGCTCGAGGCTTCAGTCAGCGTGAGGGGGTCGACTTCTTTCAGACCTTCTCCCCCACCCCGAAGATGACCACTCTTCGGGTGTTGCTACACGTTGCAGCTCAGCGTGACTACGAGCTGCACTCCCTCGACTTCTCGACAGCTTTCTTGCAGGGTAGCCTTCACGAGGCCATCTGGTTGCGCCGTCCACAGGGCTTCACTGGGTCATTTCCTGAGGGTACCCAGTGGAGCCTACGGCGACCAGTGTACGGCCTGCGTCAGGCGCCCCGCGAGTGGCACGACACACTGAGGACGACACTTGCGGCTCTTGGGTTTGCTCCTTCGACTGCTGACCCGTCGCTGTTTCTATGCACCGACACTACTCTGCCGCCGTTCTACATCCTCGTGTACGTCGACGACTTGGTTTTTGCTACTGCTGACACTGAGGCACTGGCCCTAGTGAAGGCGGAGCTGCAGGAGAGACACACGTGCACTGACCTGGGTGAGCTGCGGAGCTATCTTGGCTTGCAGATCACCCGGGACAGACCACGGCGCACCATCACCCTCACTCAGTCACACATGGTGCACCAGGTCCTTCAGCGCTTCCGCTTCACGTACTCCTCGCCACAGCCCACTCCTCTGGCTACCGGCCACTCGCTCTCAGCTCCACCTTCGGACGAGTCCGTAGAGCCGAGTGGTCCGTACCCAGAGCTTGTGGGTTGCCTCATGTACCTGATGACATGCACACGACCTGACCTCGCGTACCCTCTCAGCCTTCTGGCTCGCTACGTGGCACCCGGTAGACACCGAAAGGGGCACTTTGATGCTGCGAAGAGGGTACTGCGTTACTTGTGCAGCACATCGGGCATGGGGCTCGTGCTTGGAGGACGGGGTTCGGTGGTCCTCACAGGACACTCTGACGCTTCTTGGGCCGACGACCAGGCGACTCAGCGTTCGTCACAGGGTTACACCTTCAGTCTTGGCTCTGGTTCTGTCTCGTGGAGGTCCACTCGTTCTTCTTCTGTGCTTGGTTCCAGCTGTGAGGCCGAGATCTACACTGGGGCCATGGCTGCATAGGAGCTACGCTGGCTGACCTACCTGATGACCGACTTGGGGGAGCGGCCTCGTTCTCCTCCAGTTCTGTACGTCGACAACAAGGCAATGCTTGCCTTGTGTCGCGGGCAGAGACTGGAGCACAGAACGAAGCACATTGCTCTTCGCTACTTCCTTGCGCGTGAGTTGCAGCAGCGTCGTCAGCTGCGCCTTGCTTACGTGGCCTCTCGGGCCAACACTGCTGATGTTTTCACCAAGGCCCTTGGGTCTGGTGATCATCAGCGTTTTTGCACTGCTCTTGGGCTTGTGCCCACTCTGCCTCACCTGCTGGTTGCTTGACTTGCTCTTGTTGTACACTGATATATATCTTTATACCTGCTTGTTTACTCTTGCTAGGTTGTGATCAGTGTACTGCCTTGCTATTATAATTCTGCATGTGAACTGGCCTTGTGGCCGCTTGCTTGTGCTCAGATTGTGTGGGGTCCTTGAGATCCACCCTGCGCTTTGCTTTGTTTTGCTTGTTCTCTTGCTTGACTGGTCTTGTGACCGTCTGTTGTGTTTGCTATCTCCCACTTAGCCTATGGGGGTGTGTAAAACTGTATGTTTGTGTTATCTCTAGGCTATAGTGGGTTAGCCTACAAGGGGTACAACACTTTAGGGTTAGGTACTTGTACTCATGCATGCTACCTAGTCAACCATTCATTCCTGCTTATTCTAACAGACTGGGGGTTCCCAAACCAATCGAGACCCTGTTCGATAGCAGGTGTCTCGCCTGCAACGGAACGGGACCAGGGAACTTTTAGCGGTTGCAAAATTTTGTCGCGTCTGGTTCGGGAAGAAACTCACAGAACCAACACATCACGTCCCTGTTCCGTTAGGTTATCGAACAGGGCCCGAAACTTGACCTAGGGCTTCCGCTCTTCCGCACATTCTTCCCCCAACCCTTCCTCCCCTCACGAAATAACCAAATTTTCGCTTGATTCTGTTTTCCCATCCCATCGTCCCTAGCGAAACTGAGTAGTTCCGCCAGTCTTTTTTTACTGGGTCGCACGCACAGTTCCGAGCGGGAGCCTGTTCGCAAGCGAATCAACGTGTGTCAAAGGGTGTGCAATAGAAATACCCCCTAAAAACACCCAGATGTATGTAGACCGCAGCTTTAAGAAACAAACAAAAAAATACACCACTCACTTGCACATTACCGTATAATAGCATTAATTACCCACGTGAAGAACTGAGGCAAACTATGTAGCTCTATCAATCATATAAATTTTGTAACTACACACATGATCATACAGTGTTTCTTGACCTTCTCTAGCTACAACTGTAGGAACTGCCTCTTGGCCAGATCAGCAAGCACAGTGGCGTAGTTCGGCGCATCTGGATGAAACTCTCCAAATGGCGCCGACCGGCCAAACACAACGCACGACACCCGTACGAGGATCGCAGCCGTCAGCCCCCAGATCGTAAAATGCTCGCCCTCCCCCACCCCCACTTGCTCCTCCTCACCCTCTCGCACCTCCCTCCCCACTGCACTTGAAACTTGCCCCGTGAGCACAGCAGGGGAAGCTGCCATGGAAGGCTGTGGAGGAGGAGGAGGAGGAGGACTGACAAAGGGTTGTGAGGAGGAGGTAGTGGAAGAACCGAGGGGTGTGTGCGGCGCGGAGGAGAGGTGGGGGAGGGGATGGGGTGCCGGCGGTGGGGCGGTGTACTCAAAAAAGTGCACGCGGTAGGGTAGACCTAACCACTCATGGTCCTCGTGCCGGTGATGCTCAGGCTGCAAGCAACAAGGGGAACAGGAGACACGGGAGGAAGGATTAGAGAGAAGGGAGGCACGGGAGGAGAGGGGGGAGGGGGAAGGAGTCGAAAGGGAAACGGGGGAAAGAGGATGGCTTGTCGTGAAAGGAGTGAAGGCTGAGTCGGATTTGACAAGAAGCTGGCGATTGGAAGAAGCAGAGCTTGGTTTCGGAGTGATACCTAACAACCAGGCGCTCACCCGTCCGAGGAGATTTTGAGCCGACTCAAAAATCAAGTCAGGAGCTCCCCCCTCAGTCTATATTCGAGGTACGGAAGTCAGCAGGAGCTGACACCAAAGCCATACCCTCTCACTCACTGCGCGCACCCATATCCCTCTGTCTGTACTCACCCATACAACCTCTTGCCATTTCCCTAACCTTCTGCCATGACATGCCCACTGACCCGATCTCCCCCCCCCCCTTCCTCTCCCCTCCAACTCCCTCCCCTACCCTCCCCTCCCATCCCATCCCCTCCCTCTCATCCCCTCTCCTCTCCTCCCCTCCATCTTCTCTCCTCCCTGCCCATTCCCTCTACTCCCTCACCCTCCTTCCCTCCCCCAGAGCACCTGCAGGAAGAGTAAGAGCAGCACGCTCAATCCCCAGGACGAAAACTGATCCACCTCCTTCCTTCCCCACCCCTCTTCCCCTTACCCGTCCCCTCCCCCGTCCCCTCCCCCTCCCCATCCCTTCCCCCTCCCCCCCTCCAGCGCACCTGCAGGAAGAGCGAGAGCGGCACGCTGAAGACAGCCTGCACCTCGTCGGCGTTGGGGCGCGGCACAAAGGTGAAGCCACGCGGCAGCAGCGCCACCACTGGCGTCACTGTCAACAGATGCTGGTGCGAGGGAGGGAGGGAGGGAGGGAGGGAGGGAGGGAGGGAGGGAGGGAGGGAGGGAGGGAGGGAGGGAGGGAGGGAGGGAGGGAGGGAGGGAGGGAGGGAGGGAGGGGGGGGGGGGAGGGAGGGAGGGAGGGAGGAAGGGGGGAGGGAGGGAGGGAGGGAGGGACAGCCTTGAGCGGTGGGTGGGGGGGTTGAGGGGTGGGGAGGAAGGAAATTCCCTCCGGAAGTTCTTGATCAAATCTCCTGGTGACTGCATGGGAACTGAACTGCCTGGGGTTTAGGGTTTTATGAAGCAGTTGTAAAAAAACGGCTTTCATCAGGACTATCAGTTGGACACCGGGACCGGGACTGATCCTGACGCCACCTCCCTCACAAGCACCCATGTTGGAGAGCCTCGGACATATTCCCAGTGAGCTGCGGTGCTTGGGAGATGGTTTAGGCAAGTGGAAAACGACAGTGTGATCACACGGACGGAATCAAAGTCAAGAGTTGGAAAAACTGGACCAAGAGCTTGACACGACACCAGAACTGTTCCTGTCCATTTAACCCCCCCCCTTCTTCCACAAGCACCCACCCACCCACCCACCTTGGAGAGGAAGGGCTTCAGGTGTGTGACCACGCGCACACGTGGGAGCGGTGCAGCCCAATCCGAGGCTGCTTAGATCCAGAACTGTTCCTGTCCATTTAACCCTCTCCTTCACACCCACCCACCCACACACCTTGGAGAGGAAGGGCTCGAGGTGTGTGACGACTCGCGCGTGGGAGCGGTGCAGGCCTATCTCCTCCTCCGCCTCCCTCAGCGCCGTGTCGCTGTCGTCTGCATCGCCCTCGTCCCTCTTGCCGCCCGGTAGCGCCACCTCGCCTGCTCACACATGCTCCATGTGTATGGGCGCGTGGGGTGGTTGATATGTGCAGGGACGCGTGGGGGGGGATGTGCATGCACGTGTGGGGCATGTGCAAGCACGCACGCATGCATGGGGCACATGCAAACACACATGGGGCACATGCAAAGCACACACATGAAACATTAAGAGGGCAGGAAAGGGAAGGCATGAGCAGACACATATGACACCTGAAAACTGATCTCCTCCCACTCCAACCTACAAGGTCCCCTTGTCCTTCACTCAGTACGCGTGCACAACTCAACACAGCCCCACAGCGCACCGCACTGCACCGCAAGGCACCGCACAGCACCCACCGGAGTGCGAGGAGAGCTTGGCAGCCCTCTTAGTAAGCCACACGCGCAGCTCGCCCCCCTCGCCCTCAAACAACGCCACCAGCACCGCCGCCTTCCTCCTCCTCATCGGCCCCATCGCCTCCCCCCCCGCCGCCAGCGCCACCCCCAGCACCGACTGCTTGTTGGGCGACAGAGGGTCCGTCTGGAAAGCAGGCACGGCCACTGATGACATGGGTGTGTCGTCTAGTGCGCTTGACTCGCTGCCCGATGCTGCTGCTGCTGCTTCCGCCTCTGCTTCGGCTTGGAGGATGGCTCGGCGCGCCTCTGCTGCCTGCTGCTGCTTAAGGGCGAGGGCTTCGGGGGAGAGGCGGTGGGGGGAGGGCGCGGAGGGAGGGGATGCGGAGGAGGGAGGGGTGGGAGGGGTGAGACCGGTGGGTGGGGCAGGTGGAGTGGGAAGCGCAGCTGGGTTAGCTGGGCCTGGAGTGGCTAAATTGCTGCTGCCGTTGCTTCTGCTGCTGCTGCCGTTGCCGTTGTTGTTGTTGTTGCTGTTGTTGTCAGTGATGGTGGTGGGGTCGCTGCAGCCGTCAAGTGTAGCAGCAACGACTCTCTTGGGCGGTTCAGAGGAGGAGGACGCAGAGGAAAGAGCACGTGTGTGGATGAGAGGAGAAGAGGAGGAGGAGAGAAGGGATGAGGCGGAGGCAGGTGAGCAGGGAGGGAAGGAGGAAAGGAAGGAGGGAGGGGAAGTGAGAGAAGAAGCGGCGTTGGCAGAACGAGGAGGAGCAAAGGGTGAAGTGGGTGAGAACAAGGGCGGTATGTAGCGCACCAGACGGGTCACTGCCTCCTTAACCACCGCACTATCCCCCACCACACCTTGCAAATCGATTATTCGTTTACTAGGATCCCACCCACCGCCATCCCCGCTGCCCCCGCTGCTCCCGGATTCCCCGCTTTCAACGCTTCTTCCCCCGCGCATTCCATCCGCCTCACAGGCAAGACCAGGTCCGTCCATGGCGCTCCTGACGTGGCAGCTGCTGACTGGACGTTCGTTGGGCCACACTTGGGGATTCGCGCAGCGGGGATGGGGAGAAGCGTGCGGGCGAAGGGGGAGCGCGGCGGCGGGGAGGAAGGAGGCGGAAGCGGAAGCGGAAGCGGAAGCGGAAGCGGAAGCGGAAGCGGAAAGGGGGACTGGAGGAATGCAAGTGGGGGGGCTTCGTAGCCGAAGTGAGGCGTTGATTGGGGAAGGCCGGTTCAGGGTTCTGGTTAGCGTGGAAACCGCAGAAAGGGTGGAAAAGGAGGAGGAAAACGAGGAAGAGGAAGAATAAGAGGCTTGAATTCGACCTGGAGAGCAGGAAGGTTGTCTGAGGACGGGTGGTAAGAGCCGATGGCGGCGCGGGGACTGCAATTCAAGCACGTGGGCGCATGCGGCTAGCGCAGGTTGGTTACTCGTGGTGGCAGTGAGCTGGCGCGTGTGGGCGGTGACGTGGCGAGAGTCGATGGTGACGTGGCGCGTGATGACGGTGATGTGGGCTCGCAGAGAACACACCCACGACGCGAACATGAGCGACCGGGGGTGCGAGCACTGCCCGTCGATAAAAAAATAAAAGAAGAAAAAAAAGTGCACAGTAACCCTCAGTAACTCGGCGGGAAGCGCGAGTGGCCGTTAGGAGCGAAGTGGATTATTATTGATGTGCTACTGCTGCTACGGAGACAGGCATTCCGATGTGAGAGGAACGCGCTGGGGTTGTGTCTCAGTCGACCTGTCACTCCATCGCTGCTCGGAATAGCTCTCCTGTATCGTGATGTCCATTCCTATCACTGACCATCCGACCGCGAGTTCCTTACCATGGATAAGATAGTTTCTTTATGGGGCTAGTCATAGCTGTCACATGGATGATGGTTCGTAGTTGCTCGACTGGACTTGCCACTAAAGCGCGTACGGTATGTGTGCGAAGCGAAACAATTCAGGCTTTTCTGCTAGTGTTGAAGGAACACCTGTTCAGGAGGCTGTTCAGTTTACCATGAATGTTGTTATGAGTTGTAATGAAGAAGAGTGCGCAGGATTCAATAACGCGGAAGTGATAACAACTACTGACTGAATAATGAAGCCTAGCACTTATATAGCGAGGACTAGCTAGGCCGAGGTTGCGGGACCGCGAAAGGTCAGGAGCAGGTTCGGGGTTGGGAAGACCCGAAGGCGACGCGTTGATGGTTCGGCGGGCGAGGTCAGCGGACCGAGCCTAGAACTCCGAAAGTTGGGGCTGTACGCGTACAGTGTGACTCAGTAAGGAATTGGGAAAAATCCTTACACTACCCCCCCTTTTAAAAAAGGTGGTGTATATCCGGGACACGCCGGCGAGTCAAATAATCCTGCAGAATCGGGTGTCCTTGTAGCGAGTCCGCGGCAACATACGTGTCATCGTCGCTCGTGCGATCCTTCCAGCGAAGCAGGAAGACGACGTGGCGTCCCGTGGCCGTCAGATTGACTCGGTGGTTGAGGATCTTCCATGGCTCGAGTGTCGGGTCTGCCACTGGGCGGACACTTGGAGCGATACTGGGTCGGGCGATATCGGATGATCGTGGTGCGAAATGTCGCAGCAGGCTGACGTGGAATGCGTCATGAATTTTCCAATCATCCGGCAGTAGTAGTTTCGCCGTGACAGGTGTCAGCATCTTGAGAATGCGAAACGGGCCCACGTAACGGGGACAAAGTTTTGCTGGTTGGGGCAGTCGAAGGTTCTTCGTGTCCAGAAGGACTATCTGCCCGTCGGTGAAGGGTAAATCCCTTCGATGCTTATCAGCGTTACGGCTAGCGACCGTATTTGCTTTTCGGATAAATTCTGTTGCTTTGTCACGGGCTGCCTGTAGTTCCGTGACGAATTGCTGGGACCGAGGGACCGGGTTGTCAGGGGTCGTTGATGAGGGTACCACGGGGTCCATCCCGTAATTTAGGAAAAATGGCGATTGGTTGGTCGTGGCGGAGGGTGCGTTGTTAAACGCGAACTCCAGCATGGGAAGTGAGTCTTCCCATTTGGCCATGTCGGGGCAGTTGGTCCGTATCAGCTGCTCCATGGTCTGATTGGTTCTCTCTGTCTGACCGTCAGTTTGCGGGTGGTAAGACGACGAAAACTGCAGGCGTGTGCCGTACTGTGCCCACGTCTCCTGCCAGAACTTCGACGTGAATTTCGGATCTCGATCGCTGATGATCGCCGAAGGTAACCCGTGTAGGCGTACGACGGTGGAGATGAACAGCTTCGCAGTTTCTTCGGCTGTGATCGTCGTGCGGCATGGTGCGAAATGTGCCATTTTCGTTAGTCGGTCGACGACGACCAAAACCGAGTCGTTGCCGCTTGCGCCAGCTGGCAGTCCCGTGACGAAATCCATCGTCACTTGTTGCCACGGTCGTCCGGGTGGCTTGAGGGGTTGCAACAGTCCAGCTGGTCGTTGTCGGGACGACTTCATGGCTTGGCAGGTCGGGCAGGTTGTCACGTAGCGCTGCACGTCCGACAGCATGTTGGGCCAGTAATAATTCCGCTGCAGCAGCTTCAGTGTTTTGTCGATGCCGAAATGCCCGGAGAGGTTAGAGTCATGAACCTCCTGCGTCAGCAACTCTCTTAAGGGTCGGTATGACGGGACCCAAACCCTGTTCGTACCGGCTTTTAGGTAATAAATCCCATGCTGCGTCGTGGCCTGGTGGTGTAGGTTTCGCTTAAAGAAGCGGTCGGTCGTGTAGCCGTGGGTGAATAGTCCCGATAATAGCGGGTTGGAATGGGCGATAAGTACCGCTGCTGTTTGCATTGATGGGCGGGTCAGGGCGTCGGCGATGTTGTTGGCGCCTTTCTTGTACGTGATGGTGTAGGTGAAGTTGGATTCCAGGTAGTCCAGCCACCTGATTTGTCGCGGGTTGAGCGTCGGTTGGCTTCGCATGTACTGTAGTGATTTGTGGTCGGTTCGTATCGTCACGTCGGCTCCCGTTAAGTAGTAGCGCCAGGTTCGAAACGCGTGGACGATGGCCAGCATCTCCTTGTCGTGGACCGGGTAGTTGCGCTCGGGTGGCTGCATTTTGCGTGACTCGTACGCAATGGGTTGCAGCCCTTTGCCGAAATCCTGTAGAAGGACGGCGCCGATGGCGAAATCGCTGGCGTCCGTGATGACTTCGAACGGTCGAGATGGGTCGGCGAGGCGGAGGACTGGGGGTGAACTCAAAATGTTTTTGAGTTTGTCGAAGGCCGACTGTTCTCTCTCCCCCCATTGAAAAGTGGTGTCCTTGTGCAGGAGGTCGGTTAGAGGTGTGGTCACCCCTGCCATATTGGGTACAAAGCGGCGGACGTAGTTCACGAATCCCAGGAAACTCTGCAGCTCGGTGATGTTGGTCGGTGGTTCCCACTTAGCGATTGCGTCCACCTTGCGAGGGTCAATTTTAATGCCGTCTCCCGAAACCACGTGCCCCAGGAACTCCAGCTCCGGCTTTAGGAACTCGCACTTAGAGCCCTTCGTAATGAGCCGATTTTGCTGTAAGCGCCGGAACACCTCCTCCAGATCCTCGAAATGTTGTTCTTGCGTCTTGCTGTACACCAGGATGTCGTCGAGGTAGACGATAATTTTTTTATCCAGCATGTCCCGGAACACCCCGTTCATGGTCAGCTGGAACGTCGAGGGCGCGTTTGTCAAGCCGAATGGCATCACGGTGTACTCGTAACTACCGTAGCGTGTGCGAAAAGCGGTCTTCGGGCAGTCGTCGGCGAACACGCGAATCTGGTGGTAGCCTCCTCGCAGGTCGATTTTCGAGAAATAGCGAGACCCGCGAAGTTGGTCCAGCAGGTCGTCCGCTCGCGGGATCGGGTAACGCGACTTTATCGTGACCCGATTCAGCGCCCGATAATCGATGCACATGCGTAGGCCTCCGTCCTTTTTCGGTGTGAACAGTATTGGCGCTGCGAATGGTGACGTGCTCGGCCGGATAAATCCCTTGGCGAGAAGGTAATCCAGCTGGCTCCTCAACTCGTCGAGCTCCGGTTGGCTGAGTCGCCACTGCGTTCGAACAGTCGGTTGCGCGCCGGGTTCCAGCTGTATCTTGTGATCTTCTGGTCGCTGAGGTGGCAAGCCATCGGGTAGGTCATCCGCGAAAATTTCGGGATACTTCCGGATGATGTCTGCCAGTTCCGTAGGGACTGCCTTGCAGAGCTTGTCGATGTCGGCGACTTTTTCGGTGGCTGCCACCTCGTACAGGTGTAC